CAAGCGGACAAAATTGTGAGTCTATACCATTCCCAGATCCCCTTGAACACACACAAAAACTTTCATCAAAATCGGTCAAGTCATTTGAGAGAAGTTCAGTGACATACACACTCACAGAAGAATTATATATATAAAGATATGTAATTAATTGTAATTGATAAAATATTAATAAAAGGATAAGCATTGCAAGGATATTGTATAAAAAAGTCTCAACAATAAAAGTAAATAAAATAAATATTAAATAATATATATATTTCCCATTTATATCTATAACACAACGAAGAATAAAATGGTGGGAGGGTGTGAGCGTTGTTATTTTCCTTTAGAAAGGGTTATGAACTATTTTTCTGACGTCATCGTTTATGGCAATTCATTTTGTAAGGTCATAATTTATCATCAATAATAACATTTTCCGTGCATCTGGTAATATTATATGTACTATGCTTGAACTATTTCTTTTTCCGTCGGCATTCCGTAACAGGTCAACGACTGTCATACCTTTTGTGTAGAATAAGAACAAACTCTGCGCTACGATTCCCAAAAATTCTAAAAGCTAACTTAAAGTTGACTTACAGTTTTTTCAGGCCCAAACACTTAATACCAATTCAAAATTAATACATTACTTCCGTTATACTTAAAATTATTACCTTCTTAGTCTCAGGACGAGAAACTTAATCGTTGTGAAGGAAAACCAGACTATATTAATGATTATTCGGGACTATGCTCGCCGCCTCCTCATCTAGTGTGTAGAGCCAAGGTAAAAGAGTATTGGGGCTACCCTATTAGCTCCACATAAGCCTATGTTGAAATGATGTTCTATAGTACTCGGTGCACCTTTATTTGAGCTTTGGGATATTCCGTCAGAAAGTCACGGTTGAATGCGCAAGATACCCATGGCAATCTGGTAAGACGATGAGGAAAACCATTAGGTTTAAGTGTTCAGTTCCCGGTATATCCTAGAATGTCAAACATACCTCCACAATTTCCCCTTTGGATCGAAGGAAATTGATGAATAAAAATAAACAAGATAAAAAACACATGTTTTCTGTGACGATATTATTAAAAAAGGTCTCAATCGCTGTGGTAAAAAAAATCAGTTAATTATAATAAATTGCACCAATTTCTCAAATTAGATTTTGGTATTTGAGCAATTACCATATACAATACAATCAACATTTAAATGGCTTTATTATATCACATCGTCCAAAATCCTTTTTGTTTCCGTTTGAAAATTTTTTATGTGTCCGTAATAACCGTTAGACATTCAAATCTGATTTTAATGTGGCTAATACTTTTTATCACATTTTTTTATAGCAAACGTTGTCTTAAATTTATCACCGAACGTTTTACGGTTCATAAATTAAAAATTCAGTCAGTATTTCTACAACTTAATTAGTAAGTAATGTCCCGGATTAATTTTATATTTTTTCATATAAAAATACAAAAAACTATTTACATAAAAACAAAAAATAAAATTAAAAAATAACTAATTTCAACAAGCGGAACCGCAGGAAAAGGCTAGTCAGTAAAATAAACAAACTACAAAATCAAGATTAAAAAAAAAACACTCGAAGCAGCATCGCTTCATTCACATAAAATAATATCTCAAAACACATTAATAATTGTAAATTCTATGTAGATAAAGCTGATGCTTATCGTATTGTATTTATTTGACATTGATAGTGTTTAATTATATTATAAAACGGACAATTTGTACAACATGTGTATGAATATATGTCGAGATAAAAATAACATAAATAATATTTAGCAATGAACATAATTTAAACTCTCAATAATTTAAGTAATGTCCAATATATTCGTTTCGCAATCCATTCATTAATATCACAATATGCATTGTTTGTAAGTGAGAAGTAACGCCATAATTATAGGCGGTAACTGTAGGAGGCGTCGATACGGCTGGTGGGATTACGCGTTACTTAGAAAGGTGTTTACGAGTACGATGTTCAGTAATAATGTACATACACACAGAATGTATGGAACGTTCGCTATATAACACTTTATCTAATTGCTAATCGCTGTTATATTATTACTTGATTCTTTTTAATGACATTTCTATTCTTACTAAACGCTTTTTTTCTGTTGTTTATGAATGATCTTTAAAGATTTTATAAACCGGTTTTTCCTTCTTTATTAATTTTAACATTTAATTAATAATAATCTACAGACTGTATAATTGTTTTTGACAATAATTAAATTCAAATGTCATTAATTAATTTTACATTGTAAACGTCCTTGCATTGTTGTAATATTGACAATTATCTAACATCTTAAAATGCATCTAAGTAATTTTTTTGCTTGCATGTTATTGTTATATATTGTCATTAAAATAATTTACATAACAGATATACAAAATGTAGGAACTATTACAATGTAACAGTATAACGTATTTTATCTTTGGTAAACTATAAAATTATATGAAACAGGATATATTAACAATTTTATTTCTATGAATTAAGGAAGGCAGGAAGGAAGGAAGGAAAGAAGGAAGGTTCCATCAGAGTCTAGTGTGAGTTTTATTTACATACTCATCACTTTAGCTAGATAACATAATATTGATCGAAAACCAGATTTGGAATCAGTGAAATCGTTTTTTGACCGAAATTTTGTGAAAACATTAAAGGAATTGAAAAAGATATGCCACTGATCACCTTTTATCTTTCATCCTTCGTCTTACCTAGAGGTAATGAGCCTTCGAGCCAGCCTGGATTACCAAGATCAAAATTACCAAGACTTCTGTAGCTGCAAGGAAATTAGACCCCGACTTCGATTAAAAATCGATGGACCTGACTCCCGCATGGTGAATCCATTGGATGCTAAGGGTTATCGTTTCCTCTGTAAAAAAGTATACCAGCATTTTCTTCTTCCGTTCTTTAATCGCGGTCCCAGTTTATTTGTCATTAAATTACTTTGATTTTTTGTTCTACCTAATTCTGTCCTTTATTATATAATCATTATTTGGAAAACTAGTTTAAAACTGTTTTTAATTTTAATTATTAAAGACATAATTATGGAAGCAGTACTGTAAAATATTCAAATTCATTCCCCCATCAATGCTATTTATTGCGTTAAATATGTAGTGAGTTAATAGTATGTGTAAGTGATACATCACTTAATATTGACACATAGAAATGAACAAGGATACTTATAACTTTTTTCTTAATTAAGCTTTGATCATACATAATAATCTTTGAAGAACTTCTTAAACCATAAAAGATAAAAATTTCATACAGAAAGAGGCAAAGCGGTGTCAATAAAATAGCTTTTATAGAGTTCTTCTTTTTAAAGATAATAATAAAAACTTTTGCCAGATCAAACTGTGAAATTTTCCTCAACATATAAAGGTCAAATAGTACACAGTACTAAAGAGATAGGCAACACAAATCACGACACCGTAATTTGAATAAGAATTGGGAACTCAAAAAATAATTACTTTTGCTAATTTCTTCAGTATCGAATGATTAATTAACATCTGGTCTAGAAAAGAAAAGAAAAGAAAAAATAAAAAGGTGCAAATAGGGCTTGTTCTTAAAAAAAGGACAATTATTTTATGAAAGTCAACCCTTACACTTTTTAAATATAAGCAGTACCAATTTTAGTGTATTGAGATTTAGGTATATAATATCAAACCATAATCTATTACATTTATTAGTGGCAGCCAATAGGATATTGAAGTCAGAGATAGAAAATACTCTATTTCCCAGTGTAAATATCATCCCATACAAACAACAGGTTTCAAAATTATTTGATAATAAAAAGAGTTAACTAGATAATGCAACGAACCTAGAATTCTTGTTAAGAACAAATATCAATAAAGAGATATCTGCCCACCCAAATGAGAAGTTGGTTAGCTAAATGAGGTGACAGCGAAACCAACAGGTTTTCATTCATATTATGGCACGTTGTAATAACCTTTGAAGTAGCAATGGGTAGGTCATATAGCCAGGAGAACAGATGGCCGTTGTGGCCGAAAAGTTCTCGAATGGAGACCATGGATTGGAAAGCGCAGCGTCGGACGTCCATCAACCAGATGGACGGATGACCTAGTCAAGGCCACGGGTTCACGGTGGATGCAGGCCCCCTCCGACCGTGGCACTTGGAAGTCGATGAGGGAGCCTTATGTCCAGCAGTGGACCTCACATGGCTGAAGAAGAAGAATTATAACCATAATAATTACCTGATATGATAAGAAGTATTGCTTAAACCTGGCAAGCTTCAGTAACTAACTTATTGTTCATCGTCTAAAGTCGTGTGTGAATCTGACTACAGCATATATTCTTATATTGTGTGATCCGCAAATAAATGCTATTATATTATAGAAAATATACCAACGTAAATAATATGCACGGTAAGCTATTATAATTTATTTTTGCAAGAACTTGATCTCTTTAAAAAAAAAACCATTATAATCTATAAATATTTATTTTATTTTAAATATTTATTGCGTAATATATGTTATAGGCTTATTAAAAGTAAATGCATAGACAGACAATTGTTAATGTTTTATTGACCTTATCAATATGAACCTATGTACTTATTTTTAGATGACTTTTTATAAAGAAATATATAATTATACTTGAGTATATAAATGACTTATTAAATTCATATTAAAAATATATATTTTTTGATAAAAAAAAAACATAAAAAAAAATTATATCAAATGTTTCACAGACAAATCTAAAAATAAGATGGCGTCTATAGAAGAGTGACTTACTTAAAATTTTATATATTAAAAAATTCATGAAATGAAGTTTAATAAACACATTCATGTCCAAAATAAACTAACATGAAAAGTATTGTTAATTTTCTTTTTAAAATTAAATATCGTGAGTAATTTAATATCACCATATTTTAAATGGCAAGCGCATTTTGTTTTATAATAATTTGCCGAGGGTACTTGCACATTATATTATGGTGCGTTTATTTTATGTCAGTTAAATAATTGTCGTTGAAAATTATAAAGTAAATACATACAAAAAGTGATGGATAGAACTACTTTCGGTAGAAAAACTGTAAGTATTATTTCTACTGCTTAATGTTCTATATAAAATTCTAAAAAAATATTAATTTGTTCTTACGTTCTTTGATAAAAATGAAAACGAATATTTTTTGTTTGCAGTACATTACATAAAAATTATTCATTAATTCCAGTAATAAAGACTAATGTAGTAATTATTGTAATATGGATATTATCCGTATTTATCTTATTATTTATTATATTTACATGGACATCCTCGGTTCGACACATTTATTTTGAATTACAACACATATGCTATCGTTAAAACCACTTTGGGGTAAATTAATATAATTCTTAGTAAAAAATCTCAAAAATTGAGAACATAATACATACTTGGAAGTGTAGACTACTCCCATATTTGTATTTATTCGATCAACGTTATAATCATGATATTTATATGAAAAAAAAGAGATCCGTAAATGTTTGAAATACGACATTATTTTTATTCACATAAAAATTGAGAGATTTGAGTGGGTGAAGACCTTAGATTATGTATATTCGTAAAAATATGTTACCTCAATGGTGCTATATTATTCTCATAGTCATGTATGCAGATAACACAAAAAATCCATTGCTAAACCATTTTAAACTTTATATCGTAAATTGAGTTCTTGTTTAACAAAACACAACAATATTACAACATATTGTTAGCAGGTATTGCGTCGCAAATTAATGCCAGTTCAGCGATGATATACAATTATATTCAAATTTTATGACACTAAATTTGTTCTTGTTGCTTTTATTGTTTCGTGAAGCCCGGTCTATAAGATCAATTATGCATGAGACTGAAACGAAAGGTATTTGAGAAAAAAATATATGTAAATGAATCACTTATACCATTTTTTAACTATTCGTTAGAAGAATTACATTTCTCTATCAAATAACTTTCCAACCAATAGCACCAAATATCTTGACATTTTTTCGTATGATGATTTTTTTTTACTTTCAGTTAAACACACAGCGATCTCGTATGGATAGATTCGTGGCATCTCGAACTTCCTTCAACGAATCCAGAAGACGTCGTTCATGGCATGCCACAACCAACCCAGAGATCGTTGACACTTGGGTCAGTATTCTGATGAAATAATAATGTTATATTTATACGAAATAATTTCACATCTAATATACATAGAACTACCTGAACCTCAAAGACATAAAAAATAGTAAAAACTCTTTTCATTTTTATGTTTCTATTATCAGTGAAGATTGCTTACTTACTAATATTTATATATATTATATAATTAATGAAGCTTACTGATATTCCCAGTATTAGTTACAAATATTCAAACTAATATGGCAATTAGTAAGCAATGTTTATAACTTCATACACCTTATACAGTGTTGGCATAGATAAAAAGACTTATATTTTTGTTATCAAGAACACCAATCGGGAACGAGTAATTTATGTAGCATTATTTATGAATGTAAGAATAAATGACTACTAATTAAACAAATGAATAAAAGTGCGTGTTGCAAATCCGTATGAAGAATTTAATAAGAAATTGTTGTTAAAGTTCTGCATATGGTACAATATAAGTCAATATTTCATATTACTCCATGTCTGACAGACCTTAAATTAACCGTTAAGTGCTCTAAAATGAATTGAAACAAAACTGAAACCCAAAACATTCCCAAAAATACGCTTAGAACTTGTTACATATATATTTCCTAATGCTATATGGGCTTATTTCAGTTTGGTAAATATATTAAACAGAAGAAATACACAAGCTACTTGGACGAGGCCTTCGAGCTAGAGCAGGAGGTTAGGGTTCCGTACAAGGAGGCGTGGCTGCGTCCGTGGCCATGTGTTCCGCGCAAGAAGAACTACTTATCATCAGCGGACAGCATTCTAGACTTACCCACTTACAGTTACGCGACTTGTGAGTAAGGACGAGTGTACACTGAAGCGAGACTTATAGTTTAAACTCCATTTTACTTCGTTTCATCGAGTGTGCACACACGTTTAAATATCTTATGACTTTCACGGTAGCAAAAACGAGCAATACAACTCAGTGTCATGTGAACATGTTCGTGTATGTAGGCGGGGCTTATCGAAACTACTTAACGAAAAAAATTATAAAAAAAGTAATAAGACAAAAAATATGCTTAGAATATACATAAAACATTATCGACTTTAATTGATTATATTAACATCTCAACGAGATTTCGAATAATATCTTTATTTATTATGTCAAATATAATGATATATATACATATTTATTAATATTATAAAATAATTATACATAGCAATTTGATAACAATGTACCGATAGTAAATTAAATCTTATATATTTTACATTTTCAATCAAAGTACAAAAGTTTTGTCAAAATAAAATAGAAATCAAAATAGTGAGCATTTCAGTTAGAATTATGAAAAACACTTTTTAAAAATTATCGAGAATATAATGCCTGGGAAACTAATGGAATCACTTTATGTATTAATTAAGATATTAAGTATGTATGCAATACAAATAATTTCACAACTCAGTTCCAGAACTCTTGGACTGGAGCAATGACAACATCCTGGTGGCCGCCTTAGGAAGAAATTATCATAAATGGAGCTGGAGGAGCCAGAGTCTCATCAGCCAGGGGTACACACAAAACGAAATACAGTGCTGCAAGTTTGATCCAAGGGGGGAGCTCCTAGTTGTAATTATTTCCTTTAATATTCTACTAATATTATAATTGCGACAGTTGGTGAGTGTGTGTATGTTTGTTACTCCTTCACGCTCAAACGGCTGAACCGATTTTGATAAAATTTTGTATACAGGAAGCTGACGTCCAGGAATAACACATAGGCTATTTTACATCCCGGAGATCCGCGGGTTACACCGCGGGGCCTAGCTAGTAATATATAAAATTATTGACAAGAGCGGTAGCTTGAATCTAAGACTGTACAATATAGCGTTCCCATAATGATATTTAAGACTTTCGCTAGTATTCATTGAAATAGAAGTAATATTTTTGGGACTATCCGCGTTTATAATTAAGTCGTCGTGCCCTGACTCATGGAGGAGAATTAATTATTTTATATATTTAAACGTCATTTTGTCAGTTTGATGTTAAATTTTGGAAATCTAACGTCAGCAGTACCACCTTCACAATATTTCTTCTAAACGCCCAGGTTATCAATATTTTCACAAGAACACCTAAATTGTGAAATGAAATTTAAATTTGAATTTTATCTCGTGTTAAGAAATTTTCTAGCCTATAATTTAGGTAATGAATTCGATAAATATTACTTAATGTCAAAGACATATTATGTTTTTTAATTTGCGTTTTTGCGTCTTTGGATAAATTTAATTTATCTTATCTTACACTTAATCCCGAATCATTGAAGAGTAATCCTTAATATATTAATATAATCAAAAATATTTATCTTGTTTATAGTTCAATTAAACAATAATTATAATGTTCACAATATACCAGCTGCTATGATAATTGTTTTATTATTCTTTTCAGCTTGGTACGGACAACAAAATGGTCGAACTCCACAATAATGCTCTCAGCAAAAAAATCGCAACTCACAGATGCCCATGCATCGATACCATTGAGCATCCATGCTCCGTCACCGCAGTAGCGTGGAGCCCCACCGGCAATTCCTTTGCTACGTATGACCTTGTATTCATTACTTATTACTACGTCCCATAGACCTAACAAAATATTTTAAAGCTTGTCAATAATATATATTTTTTATGAAACCAATATTACTCGGGTTATTACACGTATTTTATTATTGCAAAAAACTATATACTTCCAACGTTTCGGTTACTTTTCAGCAACCGTGATCACGGGTAGACAAGATGTGAAACGTCGAGAGCATGTAGTTTTTTTTTAAATAATAAAAAACGCTTCATAATCCGAATAAAACTAGTTTCATTTTAATGAATACTCGCTAAAGTCTTAGTTATCATTATAATAAAAATTACTGAATAAAAATTGCAGAGGCTGTTCGTTTGGTGTATTGGTTTCGTTATCCCGAGAAGCGAAACTTATTACCTGGCGTCGTGTAGTTCGAGAAGCGATTCAGATTGTTCGCGTATCACCAGATGCTCGTTACGTAGCCGTATCCTCTGTTAATTCATCCTTCGTGCTGCTGCTGTCCTGGCCGACATTGGAGATAATATCAAGACTGGATTCCGATTGGACGATTAGGGTTTGTATAGACAAAACCTCTTAGCATTAAATTGATTCACCGTGCGGGTGCCGGGTCCATCGCGTTATAGGGAGAGGAGCTTCAACAGTATTTGGGATTTGCGACGCAGGTGTAGGTTTAAAGACCTTTATCTAACGCGCGTTAAACCCTCACCACCACCGTCCAAGCTCCTCTCTCTGCCTAACTAAATTTTTGAAAAGAACCTACTAGGGCTGCCTTAAAAATTTATAGTCTTACGTAAGTTTTTACATGATAAAGTAAATTACAGACTATAGCCTGGCATCCTTGGAGGAGTGCGTTACTGGGTGTTGGAGCTGTAACTTCAGACCTTCAGGCGAGGATTGCGTTGTGGGATGCGCCGACATCAAAAGTACGAGAAACAACTCTCAGTCCAAAACGCCACAGTCTAGATGCTATGTTGTTCAGTCACAGGACCGGCGAATTAGTGCTCAGCTTATGGAACTCTGGTACGACCCCATGAAAATTTATTTAAAGACTTTTCAAATAATATAAAGACTAAAAGTTACCTGATTTAATTCGATTATAAACGGTATTGAGGTCATTTAAATACACTTGAAATATATATTTAAATATTGTAACTGAACTAAGATATACCTTTTTATTCACACAATATACCTTATTATTTTTTAAATAATAAGAAAATGTTTAGTCTATAATTGACCATAAAATAACCAGAAAGGTTGGATTTCACATTTATAATGAACCAAGTATACACTTTGTGACAAGAAGCAATTCTATTTAAACTCTGTATATAGATCGTGCATTACTCCACCCGAAAACCTGCTCTCACCTGGTGGTGCTGAGCGATCCTAAAACTGTGGTGGACCAATGGGGCGAAGGCAGGAGCGGCTTGGACCGAGTTCGTACTATGGTGTTCAGCCCTGATGGAACTAAACTTGGTAACTAAAATACACAATACTATTATAAATACAACTTATATTTTCGGATTACTACGCGTTATTTTATTATTTTAAAAACTACACACTCCCGAACTTTTGCTTTGCAGCAACCGTGATCACGAGCAGACGAGATGATTCACATAAGTCATGGTAGTAATGCGCAAATATTAGTTTTATTTAAATGAATATCCTCCAAAATCTTAAATCTCATAATTCTAAGATAAGTCCAGACTTTTTTTAACTTATTGAAAATATCTTTTGCAACACCTAAATAACATCAAAAATGTCTTAGTTTCCATTGATTTATCAGTTGGTAATGGTTAAAAATTGTAATATATTTTAATAACAAATTTCAGTCTTGAAGACTCTGTAAGATTTTAATTAAAATCTAGTATGGCTTCGTCTTTCTTTATTTATTTTCCAATGAAAATTGATTCGTTAAAAATTAAAACATCATGAGGCACATGATCTACAAAACGGGTTAAATTTTAATTATAGCTTAATCTTTACAGTTCTTTATCCAATTTTAAATAAACTGTTTCTTAAAATTAAAATATAATGTTACTTAAAATTTCATTACCGTATTTTTTTATAAGTAGTGACGTTTGATTTAATTTATTTGCGAATGTATGTATTATATTTGATTAACATTTCACTATCCGGACCCATTATATTGAATGTGAAATTAAAACTTCCTCACGGAATACAAAGTCATTTCATAAAAAAATATCAGAACTATTATAGAGTATTGAGTTAAAAATACAATTCTTTCATTTAGAAGAGGCATAAGATAAAAAATTATAATCTAAAATATGTTGCATTTACTTTGCAAGAGACATAAATAATTATGTGTTTAAATTAAGTTGTCGTAATTAAGATCGTATAGATGAGTTTAGTTAGATCATTGATTAGCACCATATATGGTAATATAAAGCTAAAGCTAGGCAATCTATCACTACTTTATAAAAAGATCAAGTAATTGAAACATATTTAATGGAATTAAATAAAAGTAATAAAGTCGGATTATTCCTCGTTATTTTTTTTTTCAAAACTACAGGTGAGCTTTGCCCGTGATCACGGTTAATGTAAAGTAACCGAAACGTCGGGAGTATGTAGTTTTGAAATAATAAAACAACGTTTTGTGATCCGAAAATATATATATGTTTTTAATGAATATTCGCGAAAGTATACGATCACAATATTGAATAGATTTTTATTAGTATTTTGACTATTATTTTTTTATATATATTAGTTTTCCTAAATTACAAAACGTTATAAGTTTTTCAAGATAGAACATAACTTTTGTCTTATATCTTGTATTTTAATTCAATTATCCTGACCACTTTCCTGGCCGTTGATCATTAACGATTTTAGATTGAAATCCTAAATGACTTACAAACACTTAAAATTATAATGTGCCTTATCAGAACTAGAAATATTCGATGTATATTGATTTGAATATTAAGGAAAGAGTAAAGTAAAATATCGATTCGTTAAAAAACTATGATATTTAATTTTAATTTAAAAGTCTGATTGCTGAAATGTTCTTCGTACCCCACTAAAAATATACTAATTTATTTAATATTATTAACAAGTAAAACATAGTCTAGAATATTCATTTCAATTGGAATGCAAGTTCCTGGAATTCCTGTACGAAAATTGCTTCACTCTTTTCTAAAACTTACGTTAAATATTAGAAGTTAATAAAATATTAAGTCTTAAAGCCCATCTAACAAAATTCACAAAATACAATATTAAATCTGTTCAAATTATTCTGATTTTCATTATTGTAATGTTATTTGTACTTCAATAAGCTATTACCATAAATTGTATTTCAACCAATAAAATCTATGTTAAATATTATCTATTAAATTTATTTTTAAAAGAAAACACCTATCTTCAGATTGTTTAAAAAATAATTTCACACTTAATAATTTACTATTTTAGTCTTACAAACTATCGCACGTTCATAATTTGATCCAAAAGATACTAATTTCAATGGAGATTATTACTGTTACAATTAGTTTAAATACCTTCTTATTGTTCAACAGCTACAGCGACCTCAGATGAAGATTTGATAATTTGGAATTTCCTCCCAGAAGATAAAATAAAGAAAAACACAAACTGTAAGAGCTTCTCGGCAATACCAGTGTACTTGGACCAGGCGACGCAAGGCTTCTCACTACGATAAACCATAATTTATTCCGTAATTATTTCATTACCTAAGAAGTCACTGGATGTACTTCATTATATATATTTTTTTTCATCAAATTGGTAATAAATTTTTCAATAAATTAATCATGACTCCCGATATAAAACATACATGGCACGACGTATTTTATATTTTTAATTCATCCCGAAAGGTTACCTATAATATTTAGTTACCAATTAAGGTAACTGAATCGACTTGACCAATTAAACTATAGATTATATAAAAATACATTATTTTTTACTATCTCAAATATACATTTACAACAGAATTCGATTATAAACTTGTAAACATCTAATAATAATAAAAATGTCACTCAAGTTTATCGATAGGTAACTCAATAGTTATAAATAAATTAGAGCATGTACCTCGATATCAGGATAACAGATTTCACAAATTATTGCATCTTTAGATATCGTACATTGTTTTCTAGATTTAAGATAGCATGAGATAGGAACTTCATTGAATCGTCAGCGCCGCCTCTCGACATCGCAATAAGCTTTTCTTAATTTATTCCCTTATTGTGAACATCTGAACACTATTCATGCACGTGAAAATATCGAATACAAATCTGCCAACCGTATTGCTAATGGCTGACGTAAAACATATTCTTATTTAAACAACACTTTAAATATATATACAACTAGCTTTCCGCCCGCAGCTTCGCCGCGTGGAGTTCGGTTATATCGCGTTTCCAAGAGAACCTTTCAAAAGTCTGGGATAAAAACTATCCTATGTTCTTTCTCAAGGTCAACTCTATCTCTGTACCGAATTTCATTAAAATCAGTTCAGTGGTTTAGGCGTGAAAGCGTAGCAGACAGACAGACAGACAGACAGACAGAGTTACTTTCGCATTTATAATATTAGTAGGGATAAATTTCCATCAAGCTTTTACTTGACATTTGATGTGTAAATAAAGTTAATTATACAATAATAAAAGGAACAATAATGTTAAATTAATTCTATAAAAATTGATACTTCTTTATGACCGTCCAAGCCATTGTTACAACATAAAACTACCAGCTCGATATCAATTGATCGGAATCTATTGAGACTTCATAACATCTTTGTCCCCTGTTGTTTTATGATGTTAAATTGTGGTCTTGATGATTGGGGGCGGTCTATATCTTGAAATAGTTTTCTTGGCACAAGTTATGTGTTGTAGCGTATTCATAATTTTCGACAAGTGAATTTAAAACTCAACAAATACTTTCATATAAAATTATTAAGAATGTATCTTTTTTATCCTTGATATGGCTATGGCTTCATTGGCACTGGAATCATGAAATATTTTGACAATATCAAAGTTTTTATTTTTTGGACGAAATATACCTATTCTAGAGTGAAGAAAAAACTATTTAATTTATTTAAAAAAATTTATTGAATCTAAATATAGCAAATTCAACAGGTATTACAACAGTTACTGCTGAAAAAAATCAAAATCAATTTAAAGCAAAAATACTTAAATTAGTTAAAAAAAAAAAACAAAATATTACTACTTTTTTCTATCCCGAATATGCACATATTCATATATATATAACTATTACAATGTATGTAGAATATAGATTAAATTATTGGTATCTTGGACAGGGACTATTGATTAATTATTGGTAATTACTTTGCGAGCCTACATTAACGGATATAAAGAAGACTTTTTTCTCATCCATATATTATGTGACGCTCTCTTTATTTTTCAACAAATATAATCACTAGAATAAAAAACAATATAAAACCAAATCTATAATACTCGGTATGTTTCAGATGTTATCATAATATCTGATTAATATGATTAATATGTATTAAATGTAACTTTTTATAAAAGTTTGACATATTCATTTATACATTTCTTTTTTTTATATTTTACATTCTACAAAAAAGTATTCTATAATCGTAGAAACCGAAGCATAAATGTTGATGTATACATAGTCGAATTACTTCAATTATCCTCTTCTTGTAAGACATTCTTTCATATTTTAATGTATACAAATATTTATATATATAATTTTTAATAATCATAATATGAAATATACAGTATTTGGAAAGTTATAAAATATTTAACGACTAAATAACTTCCTAATAAACCTTTACATCCACACAATTAAAACACGTAAATCTGTCAGCTTGAAATATTTTCGATTCCATTCTGACTTTGACTTTAAACATTCTGCTGTCAAAGAGACGTCAGTTTGACACAACTATTATGAGGATTTATGTTAATACAACAGCTGACACTTACAAACGTTTCAGATATAATGTGTCAATCAAATATAGAAATTCTTTTAGTGTTTCGATCTTTATTTAAAATATTTTCTAGTAAATTTCGCAATAAATTTACTATTATTATTCCTTTTGTTGGACACAATTGCAGTTAACAACAGAGCTTTTAATTAGTTTTTTAGAGCTTATAAATTTTAGTAGACTATATACATCTATATTTATATATGTACTTTTTCTTTTTCTTCTTTTACCTGGCAATTTCCCAGCATTAGCCAGGGTCTGTCTTACATATTGTGAATAGTTTTGGGTAAATGTGTTTTTACTACCGACCGCCTGCGTCACATCAACCCTGTTTGGGAATGCATTAATCAGTGATGTCTAAATACTTTGAGAAAGTGCATATGCCTCGGAAAAATCACATTGGTACTTTCCAGGATCGTACCCGCGCCCTCGTATATGAGAGGCGGGCCTTTTAACCACGAGGCCACCAGTCACCACAGACTTAAACTTACTTCGTCACACTCTAAATAAAGATTTTTTTATTAAAAGAGCTGAATAAATTTATAATGACAATAAAAGTATTTAAAATTATTATTTTACATTAAAACGTCGGAGTCCAAAACGTATGTGGCTGGTGAACATCTTTTGCTCCAGTTTATTGACCTCTTTTCAATAACTTGTCAGTTAAAAATAACAGTTTAAACTTGTTCGCAAAATCTATTCAACCATATTTATAGATAGCGCAAAAGTAATGCCAATTAATTAGTAAAACATAAATTTACATAATAATATATAATATGTATAAAAAATATTAGTATCCCTTAATAGATAATCACACTTGTACATTAAAGTACATATATTTACACCGTAATACACAGAATGTACAAATCTGACATTATAACTGTCAAAGTTTATCTTAACTTTAGTAAGTGAAAATTGTAAATAAACAGATACATACACTGAAACATAAAAAATGTTGGTAGAACTTTTCTATAACATTGAAGTTTTTGATTTTTTCAATTCTACATAGATATAAACTTAGCAACACTTTCCCTATTATTAAAAAGAAAAAAACCTTTAATGTAATATTACTTATAGATTTAAATAATACTTTTTTCATAAAATAATAAAATACGAACATATTTATGTTTGCCTTGTCTAAATATGAACTATTAAACAAATATATATAATAATGTTGTTCATTAAAATAAGCAATACCCTTATTGTAGAGTGTTTATATAACAATTCAATAGAAATGCTTTCACAATGTAATTCAAAAACGTCTTTTGTTGTTATAATATATAGCATAATGAACGAGACAATTTCATCAGTGACCTTGCACAGTACCAAATCTACGTCTCGCCTTCATTACATAACTACACTCTCTCTTCTACCTGGCAATTTCCCAGCTATAGCCAGGGTCTGCCTTACTTGTTGTGAATAGTTTTGGCTAATTGTTTTTCACGACCGGCCGCCTGCCTGACATCAACCCTCTTTTGGACCCTGCCAGGATCGAACCCACACTCTCGGCAACGAGAGGCGGGCCCTCTAACCATTAGGCCACCACTGATTTACATAACTACACTATGATTACAAAAAGAAAATAATTATAGAGACTTACACAAGAACTAAATAATATAACTGCGAAACTAATATTATTCGGATAACTACGCGTATATTATTATTTTAAAACTATATGCTCACGACGTTCAGTTACTTTTGCAGCAACCGCGATCACGGGCAAACAAGATATAATCCGAAAAATATTAGTTTCATTTAAATGAATACTCGAGATAGTCTTAGATATCAATTCTCATTAATATAACTAAGGGCTATTTAAGGCCTAACCAAGGCCATTCAGATATTTCCAATAGACGTTAAAACAAAATCAATAGTGTTACAACTAGACTTACACCTGTATTATATTAAAATGCTTTTATATTCGCACATATTTATATATAAAATACGATATTTGCAAAACAGACGCTGGCAAACATAAATAAATTTGATTAATTCACACCTTTGGTAGAACTGACAGTGAAAAATGTTTTCTAGAATGCTAACTTCCAGTAAAAATACATATTATTCAATCTTCATGGCGGTAATGTCAACTATAAAATAATACCCCAGAAATAATACCCCATTGATATTACATATTAAAACACATCACTATATGGACCCATTAAAATTATTCAGTACTAGCTTTCCGCCCGCAGCTTCGCCCGCGTGGAGTTCGGTTATATCACATTTCTAAGAAAACCTTTCAAAAGTCTGGGATAAAAACTATTCTATATTCTTTCTCAAGGTCAACTCTATCTCAGTATCAAATTTCATTAAAATCAGTGATTTAGCCGTGAAAGCGTAACAGACAGACAGACAGAGTTATTTTCGCATTTATAATATTAGTAGGAATCTTTTAATTTCACATAATTCATACAAAATCATATTTTTGTAACAAAGAAAACAATAATAATGTAATTGCAGATGACATTTGGATAGAAATATAATATTTTACTTTTAATTTTCGTTTCTTAACAAAACGTACTACAATAATATCGATTTTAACCTTATGATAGTTATGAAGAAAGCATTATAAGTAACATATCCAATCTTATTATTACGTCATCTTAACAATAGTTAACCTCACATAGAACGCAATAAAGATGTAAAACTGTACCAGCCGATGCGCTTCACTGGTTATAACAATAAAATTTTAAGGCAAGAAGGCCGCCGGCCAGATTGCGGATATCGTGAAACTGGCATTT